TATATATATATATATATATATATATTGCATATGTGCATATACACATATGTGCATATATACATATTCAAAATATATACTAAAAATATTCAAGTGACACCTGAAACTAAAAAGAAATATACGTGTACATTCGTTTACATATAAAATATAAGGATGTACGCGTATATTTCTTTTTAGTTTCAGGAGATGTCACTTGAATATTTTTCTACAATATGTTCTTCAATATTTGCGAACAAAGAAATGCTACTCGGATTTGGAAACAATGGTGTATATAAATGATGCCTGCCTTGGACTACACAACCCGTGTCCCTTTAATTTGTGACTTACGTCTCTATAGAGAACAGCAGCTCACTACTCTTATAGCAATTAATCCTGAAGCTATTTCAAGGCCAGAGGAATAATTGTTTTCATCTCCTTTTTCAAAGAGTGTATTCAATGCTTCTGACAAGTGCTGGAGACCTATTTCCTGATTCACAAAATAGGTACAATAGAGCACGTCATACTAACAGCTTGCTCAGTTTATAAACATGACCCAGAAGAATCATCTCTATAGGTAAGGAGATTGTTCAGTTTTAACGGCCATTAAATGCTGGGCTTCCCTCTGCAGACTGGTAACGTCTCTATCGATAGGGTATGGCAGACTCTACTTCTGCGTATCTGCCCCAGGCTGGGAGCTACCAACTTATTCTTCCACAGGCCGTTAAACAACCCTCAGATGCCTGTCATTGCCCTTGGTGGGTTTAAACTGGTAACTTGGAGGCATCAGTCTTTCAAACCCATTTTGAACGCAATCAACTCTCATCTGCTTTTATATTCAAATATCACTCCTAAATTTTTATTGTAGCCTAATGAAGCACATGAAGTGAGCTGAGACAAAAATATGGGTTAATTCCACATTCATTTATTCTAGCATAAATGTGTTACCGTTCAATTTTCCAGTTCACAAACTTATTTTGTCTGCATTAACTTTACATTTAGACAAGTTTCTCCTTTTAAAAAAAAACAAACCCGAAATGGGAATAAACTTGGAAAAAATGAAGTGAAAAGAGAACACTTCCTCAAATTTACTTTTACTACCACATTCTAAGTAATGAAGACAGACAGTCCAAAGACATTTTGGCTAGTTATAAAATTATTCATATTTTAGTCTAAATTACTTTTGGTGGAGGCTTTACCAGGCCCATGAATTTATTTATAAATTAGTCTTTATATCAATATGAACTTTCTCCCTTTGATATAACAATCCACTTTTAAATGGATTTACCTTTTCTAAATATGTGTAGCTCCATATTTTACCATCTGCCCATGTCCTGGAAATGATCTTTCCACTTGCGTCATATTCCATTTTCTCAGTCCATGTTCCTCTCTGAATATAGGTCACTAATCCTGAATGTGAATAAGTGATGTTGACTTCATTGTACTTGCTGATGGGTGACCACAAAATTGGACGTCCTGTCTGGTCATACATAATCCGAAGAGTGAATTTTCGATGGTCATCATAGATCTTTCCTGTTCTGGTCACGTGGTCAAAATCAATGGATAAGAGGTTTCTGTTGTGGGCCTAAAGATAAATATACAGGCAGGTAAGCAAAATGTGCCTTACGTGGTTTTTAGCAACTGCAGCATTTCTATGACAACTACATGATCAAAATGTGCTATTGTGAATTTACTAGTTATTAAATATAAGAAAAAATTGAAGCTTTCAGAAGTTTCAGAAGAGCTGGAACGTGAAGCCACCTTAAATGAAAAAAAACTGCTTTTTTTAACTGTGATATACTTCATTTGAGATATTTACATTTCTTAATGAAGGGAGTGTGAATCCATGGAGAAGGGTGGAAACTTTGTGGTTAAATTGGCTACCAGTCACACTGGTCTGAGCTCTACTTCTGGTCGGACTGTTTACACGTACCGGGGCTGATCGTCTGGCAAACTCTAGCAGTGGCTGTTGGTAATATCAGCTAGTCCCCACTAAGGCAGCTCCATCACCAGGAGTATTTTGCAGCATGCCCTGCCTTATCAGCTTTCTGCTCCTTGCAAGAAAAGGCTGCAGGACACTTACAACTGAACAACTCTTGCAGCTAGTGATAGTGATGCTCCCCAAGGTGACATCAACTGCGGATACACTGAATAAAACGTCTACAAACTAAATAAAACTGGCCAGAAAAATCTCACTGAGGTTATTTGTGATTTCTTTCCATCAGCTTCTCCTTGAAGCAACTAAACTTCTCACAACCACCAGGTTTCCTATTTCAGCCTCCTTTGGTTAGTTTTATGGAAACCCTCCTATTTTCATGCTCCAGTTTTTCTTTTAATCTCTGCTCGTATCTTATCTCAAATATTTCTCTTTTATCTTTCTTCCTTCAATACGTTGACTTCTTGAGTCTATGTCAAGACATGCAGCTGAGTTGGTCTGTATACATTTTTGACCACAACTCTGCTTCTAACGCTCTTGTCTACTTTCCATTCACGTTCTACTCTGGCTGCTGATGTTAGGAAGACATGAAAATAACAGAGAAAATGGATGAGTTATGTTAGCAGATTCACAGAAGACTATTCGCTGTTGCCCATGTACTTCTTCAGCTAGTATCCGGGAAGCAGACCATACAAAAATGGCTATCAACCAATGGTAATCAACTTCAAATGGCCTAACAGGCCTTATTGGAGAAAGGGGCTGGACTGTGATTTGAATATTCGGTTCATCACTATAGTTTCTGATAGTGAATAAGAGCAACAACTAGGGCCAGGCATATTTAATCCTGCAGTTTCTGGTCTCTTCTTAAGAAGAGACTAATCATGCTATGTTGTGTCAAAACGCGTGGATAAACAAGCCACTTTAGGATGAGCGGTTTGATCTCCAATTTGATGGTGAAAGTCTTGACTTCACAGTGAAAGTCTGAAACCAGAACTCCAGGGGTTAAATACAGTTAACGCTCTGCATCATTATTAACACTGTGTTCACTGCAAAGAAGCGCCACAGAATTATAAACTATCATTTATGGACTCCTAAGATGGATTGTTTACTGACTTGGGTCTTCAGACCAACAGTGCTCAGCGGTGGTATTAATTTATTCTAATTAAATGGTGAGGTAATGCCTCGCAGCAGGGACTATACCATCTTGTGTGTTTGTACAGTGCACAGAACACTTGAGCTCTGGTCCTGATAGGGGCCTGTATGCCTGACTTTAAAATAAATGTTTAGGCATACTGATGATAACAACCCAAGCTGTGATCATATGGTGTTGGTGATTAAAATGAACTTTTCCCCCTGTCTATAGATACAAATGGTTTGGAAACCTAAAAGAAGCAGGTGTTCTTTCTTCAACTATCTTTCCTACGGTTTTATATACACACTTTAATACCGCTTATTTACAATAGCTGTAAAACACCTCCATGGTCCCATAGACTGCTGTAACTATTACAATTTATGTTCTAATGATAGTTAAGGATCCTAAGTAAAAAGTGATTTTCAGTGTGGCTACATTTCTTGGTATATTTGTGTGATGGATTAAGTTTATCTTTAAAAGCACATTTTTTTTGCACACTTACTAGATGCAGTGAAAGCAGCATTGGTGAGAAAACGCACTGAAAATTAAGCAAGGGATAATTCCTGGATAATGCCATGTTACTTTCTGTATGTATATTTAATGTTGTTATTGTCTTTATATCATAGAACACATCACAGTCCTGGATCCAAATAGCTTGTAAGCTAAATGCAGATATGACATAATGACCGAGTCAAAAACAGAGAAGGATGGGGTAAGCACTGAGGCTGAAAGTTAAAAGATCAGATGGTTATTAAGTGAGATACGTGCACATCTTGTTGGTTCTGTTGCATTTGAGGTTTTATTGCTGGTTTTGTTAATTTTGTAACTCATCATCAGATGCAATAAAGCGGAATGGGGTTCTGATGAGCAATGACTAAGTTATGAACCATCATTTCTAAGCTGATGCTGAAATGCTGATGTCAAATCCCAGTAGTTTATTAAAGCTGATTTCTGAAAGCTAAGTATAGCTGAGTAGAGTCAATGTGAAGAAGTGGAATTGGGATAGTCTAAGATCTAGTGCAAGACAAATATATACTTGCAAACTTTGCTGACGTAACTTTCCAACAAGAAATAAGGAGAGACTGGATAGTTTTACTTTAGCAGCTAAAACTCAGAAGCTAGGCCAAGACTTAAGTCTCTTGTTTTAACTAGAGTCCAGAGTGAGGGGGAGTTTGTTTGGAAGCTCTCTCTCATATTGCTTTACTGTAAGCTTGCTGAGAGGAAAGAGGCTGCAGGGAAAAGGGAACCTTTCAGATCAAGGAACAGCAAAGAGGCCAGCTACAGAGGAGTTTGCTAGGGAAGGTCTCCTTGGAAAGAGGCACAAAGTGAGAGGCAGCAGATTAGAAGACCCAGAGACATGGCTGGAGTTCATCGCAATACCAAAGCCACTGCCACATCCAGTTCTTCCTCTGCTTTTATCTGTGAGGTGTCTGTCCAGGCAGGGCCACACACCGCTGAGGTCCTGGATTGGGGCTGTGCAAACTGCAGCTTGCAGATTCCTTCCACTGTCAGCCAGGTGGGGTGTTCCTGCAACGTGAGCAGTGCTTTCTAGTGGTATCCCTCAGGGAGAAGGCAAGAGAGCTACAAGAGGAGGTAGCAAGGCTCCGAAGCATCCTCTGCCATGAGGACTTCATCAGTTCCATGCTAGAGAAAACCTCTAGGACTGTGAAGGAAGGACTGTCAGAGGCGATGCTAAAAGAGGAAGAGGGCATGGACTCCCAGGAAGGTGGAAGCTTGTATCTTCTGGCAGCAAGAAGAAGTTGTTATCCCCACATGCAGCAGTTTGCCTGGAGAACAAATATGGAGTGCTAACAATACAGGAGGAGGAGACCATTGCATCGGTGGAAGAGGCCAGGCCAGGAATCCCCAAGGTGGAGAGGATCAAGACTACTGCTACAAAGAGGATGCGATGGGTGGTGGTGGTTGGAGACTCCCTTCTGCGAGGGATGGAGGGATCAATCTGCTGGCCTGACCTGTTGTCCCAGGAGGTCTGCTGCTTGCCTGCAGCCCAGACCCGAGATGTCACGGAAGGATTACCGAGACTCGTCTGGCCCTCTGGCTACTACCCCATGCTGCTCACGTCGGCAGTGATACTGCCAGGGGTGACCCTGAGCAAACCAAGAGTGACTACCAGGGCTCTGGGCACAAGGGTGAAGAGGACAGGGGCACAGGTCATGTTCTCCTCAATCCTTCTGGTCAACGGGAAGAGCCCTGGCAGGACCAGATACATCCTCCAAATCAATGCATGGCTGCATAAGGTGGTGTTGCCAGCTGGGATTTGGCTTCTTTGACCATGGGATGTTGTTTCAAGGAGGCGGCTTGCTAGGAAGAGATGGGAGCCACCAGACAAAGACAGGGAAGAGCATCTTTGCAGACAGGCTTGCTAACTTAGTGAGGAGGGCTTTAAACTAGGTTTGCTGGGGGAGGGTGAACAAAGCCCTAAAGTAAATCGGGAAGAGGGGGACATAGAGGAAGCAGAACCAGGAAACTTCATGGGAGGCCTCCTCATTCTTCTTGAGAAAGTAGGGTAATTGGCTAGTCACCTCGAGTGCCTGTACCCAAATGGATGGAGCTTGGGAAACAAGCAGGAAGAACTGGAAGTCCTTGCACAGTCAAGTCACTATGGCATGATCAGAATAACAGAGACTTGGTGGGAGCTCATATGATTGGAGCACTGTCATGGATGCGTACAAACTGTTCAGGAAGTACAGGCAGAGGAAAAGAGGAGGAGGAGCTGCACTTTATGTAAAAGCTGTATGATTGCTCAGCGCTCCATTATGAAACTGGAAATAGGCCTGCTGAAAGTATGTGGGGTAAGGTTAGAGGGGACAGCAACGGGGGTGATATCTTGGTGGGGATCTGCTATACACCACCAGACCAGGAGGATGAGGTAGATGGGGCAACCAGTGGAAGTTTCCAGATCACAGGCCCTGGTTCTCACAGGGGACTTCAGTCACCCTGACACAGGCAATCCAGGAAGTTTTTGGAGGGTGTTGAAGACAACTTCCTGGTGCAAGTGTTGGAAAGACCAACTAGAAGCAATGCTCTTCTTCACCTACTGCTCACAAACAGGGAAGAATTAGTGAGGGATGTAGAAGTACATGGGAAGTTGGGCAGCAGGGACCACAAGATGATTGAGTTCAGGATCCTGACAAATGGAAGAAAGGAGAGCAGCAGAGTATGGACCCTGCACTTCAGAAAAACAGATTTTGACTCCCTCAGGGAACTGATTGGCAGGATCCCCTGGGAGGCCAGTCTGAAGTGGGAAAGAGTCCAGGAGAGCTGGCTGCATTGTAAAGAAATCTTACTGAGGGCACAGGAACCAACCATCCCAATGTGCAAGAAGACTAGCAAATGTGGCAAGTGATCAGCTTGGCTTAGCAGAAAACACTTTGGTGAGCTTAAACACCAAAAGAAAGCTTACAAGAAGTG